TTCATATCATCTTATTAATTTTCTGATATACATATAGTTTATTTATTAACCAGCAGACCCGGCGAACTTCGTTCCGCCCAAAATTATTATATATTTTATTGAAACTTTTTGGTCCAACATTTTCACCAACAATTCACGTTTACGATTTTCATTGGCACATTCGTCGGCTAAGATTATGGTTTGGTGGTCATTTGCCGCTTTAAATAACCTAAGGAAAGTGTTATATCCGTGAAGAAGTTCTTGAAATTCTCCAGTTGTGCGGCATTTCATAGCACGGTTATTCGCAAAGCGAAATACATTTTTTCCTCTTCACTCCCTGGCGGCAACAATGACCCAGTTCTATAGTGAATGTCCTAGAAGCTTTACAGTATAGTTGGTGGCAATTTCAAAATGGGTGCGGATCTACAGAAATGCAATATACATCTACTTATTTCAGACGAAATACCTTAAAAGTTTGAATAATATTGGAAAATCACATCCATTGGGCCAATCGCAAAGCAGGAGCGTTCGATATACTCAATGGTGCAACAGCTCGATTTAATCTTACCTTCACGGCCCCTTTCTCACTTGGCTATTTTTAGTAATAACTTGACTTCAGCACCACTTGGCAGCACGTTTATTATTTATTTATTTATTCGTTTTAATCTATAAAAGTGTAACAATTCTTACAGATTACAAATTTAAAACATTAGCCAAATCGGATCATAAATAAGATTTTTAGTGATAACTCAACTACAGCGCCAACTGTCGGATGAAATTGTGAAACTAAACCATCCAGAGACACACTCGAACACACACAAAAAGTTTCGTTAAAATCCGTACAACCATTTAGGAGGATTTCACTCACAAACACACCTAAAGAAGAATTATAAATACATTCAAAGATAGCTAAAGGTCGGTACGTTTGTAGGCCTCACACCCCCTTTTCAAATAGCCCAAATTTTCTCCATGAGTATGGGCTTGATTTCAACTACATACATATCTCCATACGAAGTTCCAGTACTGTAACATGAATACTTTCAGAGCTATGCAGTATAAAAATTCGATTTATATGGGAGGTGCCACTCCCCCCCTTCCAACAGCTGCCCTTTTTCTTCATGTGTATGCGATTGATTTCTTATATCTCCATACGAAGTTCCAGAACTCTACCATGAACATTTCCAAAGATATACAGTATGAAAAATTCGGTTTGTATGGAAGATGCCACGCCCCCTTTTCCAATAGATCCAATTTTTCTCCAAGAGTATGCGATTGATTTCGTATATCTCCATACCAAGTTCCAGAACTCTACCATGAATATTTCCAGAGATACGTAGTATGAAAAATTTGGTTTGTATGGGAGATGCCACACCCCTTTTTACAATAGCTTACATTTTTCTCCAAGGGTATGCGATTGATTTCGTATATCTCCATACCAAGTTCCAGAACTCTACCATGCACACTTTCAGAGATATGTAGCATGAGAAATTCGGTTGGTATGGGAGGTGCCACGCCCCCTTTACATGTTGATTTTTTTTTAGCCTAAAACCATCCTTGGGACACGTGCTGCAGGTGGCAGTTTCAGAAAAATCGGTTCAGCCGCTCTCGAGCCTTGCGAAAACTAAAAAACGGCTTTCAAAATATATATTAGTTGAGATATATTATATATTATAATTATATTTTGACAGTATCCGTTGTTTCTGATTGGCGCAAAAATATCTTGCTTAGTGACGAATTCGCCCCTTGATATGGTGGTTGCTCAAAGCTTATTCGAAATTGCATGAAAACTGGAAAAGACGAATCTATAAGCTTATCCAGGCAAAAATCTACCTAAGTACCGAATTTTAAGCAAATCGGACCATAAATTCGATTTCTTCGAATAGATCGGTCCCTGGTCCACTTCTCGGAAAACATGGATCATATATGCTAAAAATCTACCTAAGTACCGAATTTTAAGCAAATGGGACCATAAATTCGATTTCTTCGAATAGATCGGTCCCTGGTCCACTTCTAGGAAAACATGGATCATATATGCTAATATGTGCTAAAAAGCTACCTACGTACCGAATTTTAATCAAATTGGACCGTAAATACGATTTTTTCGAATAGATCGGTCCCTGGTCCACTTCTCGGAAAAAATGGATCACATATGCTAATATATGCTAAAAAGCTACCTGCGTACCGAATTTTAATCAAATCGGACCGTAAATACGGATTTTAGAAATATCTCGACCGCAGCGCCACCTATCGACATTAGTTTTGTTCTATAACACTCCCAGTGATTATATGCACCTACCGTAAAAATTTCATTAAAATCGATTGGGTACTTTTGACGCCTATAAAGGACATACAGACAAACATTCATTTTTATATATATAGATTTTCCGGTAACACCACATTATATTAATTCGCGCTTCTAGCATCCATAGGACCGGGTTGTAATGGAAGTAATTGTATGTTTAACAAATAAATGAAAATGTTTATAATGCAATCAATAGATCCTTACGAATTCGTTATTACCAAGGCACTAAGTAACGTACGCACTTTTGTTTGCAAAATGCATTTATTTAAGTTGAAAGAAGACAAATTCCTTATTATTAATTTATTCTTACTCGCTTTCTATCTTCCAAGGCGAATGCATATAATCTTATCACGAATTCATGTATTCATGTGGTAGCAAGAGTATAAAAACATAAAATTACCTTATAAATTAAAAGCATAAGTATCACATGTATGCGTAGTCCAATTCACGAAATCATTTCATCGATCTGAGTA